CCCCCCCCCCCCCCCTTCCGAGTCAGACCTATAGCTCTGTTCTTAGTAAAACTTATGGACCCTGCTGATTGGAGAGCTCTGGATATAACTCAACAGGGAGCACCTCAGACATCAGTAAAGGGAATGGTGTTTCCCCTCATAGAGCAAAAGTCACATTCTGGATTTGCTGGCAGGGGAGAAGCTTTTCCACCCTGGCTGTGGCTGCTTTTTGAATCAAACAAACTGTAAGACATAAGCCAGTTATACTGAACATGCTTGAGGTGCCCGCAAAATTCGATGAGTGGTTGCCTCTGTAGGCACCTTTCCGACCAGCGATCAGCTGATCAAAGGAGCATGTCGAATTGTCGGCCAAATAGAGCTAGCAGCCAGTGAGCTGCCAGCGATTCTGTCACGATACAGAGGAAACAGCAGGAGATCCCTCGATCAACGCTCAGTATTGATGGTCAAATCTGTTCTATTTTAATAGAAGCGTGTGTACCCGACTTTAAACTCCACTAATCTCCATTTGCATAAATCACCACACAACCTAAACTACTATAACTACAAAAATGTGTTTTTTTTTATTTTGGTGATGCTTTTATTAAGGGAAACGTGTTAAGAGATAAATATGACAGCTTCTATTGTGAAAATTCTATTTACCTGACTGTCATGCTAACCCTTTAATTTCAACATTATTTAGGTCTATGACCTGGAGCAAGTTTTCAGTATGCTACAGGGTTCTGGCTATTTCTGACTTTCCAAGTCTATTACATCTCTGGGCCAAAGAAACCTGTTGTACTTCTGTCAGCCATGCAGCTTTTTTCGGAGAAGATTCTCCTGTCTTGCTCCTATGTGACCCTGGCCTATAAAAGGGTAAATGGTGGACAACAATCACTGCTCTGTCATTGCAAGTAGAGCATATGAGTGGGGTTGATTTGCAAATAGCCTGCTTACTTTGTAAGGGAATTTTCCCTTAGCTTAGGAAATGTGGTAAAAATTCACTCTGCACAGAATACCCAATCACATCTACACAAACTAAAACATTATTTTTGTTTGCACGTGATTGGATGATGGAAGTCAGCAGATCTTCACCTCATTCACTAAGCTAAGGGAAAATTACCTTGCCATGTGAACAGCCTATTTGCCTTTGGTAAATCAATTAGGGCACAGTTCTTAGTCTAACACCTATGGAAATATGTACGCCGGCTGAGCTGTTTGGGGAGTAAGTACATTTTATGTGTGAAGTAAAACGAAATGTAATTACAACTTGAACATTTTATCCATGTGCTTTGTTACTTTTAGGAATTGGTTGATAAATACACAGCAATTGTGAAACTTATCGATTCTGGAGATAAACTGAAGCTTGACCAGACACATCTAGAAACTGTTATCCCTGCACCAGGTAGAAGGAAAATCTATATTGCCATTTGTTGTAGAACTGTTGTGTGCTCTATACACAGGAAAATGTTCCTTTTTGTACTTCCCATCACTGAAAATCATTTGCCCAGGTAATAAATAACCAGGACCATATTGCCAAGTTCAATTCCCCTAAAGATGAAATTTAGCTTTACACTTCTGTCCTTTTCCCAGTTCATTAACCAATACATTCTTGGGATGGAACATTCTGGGGTTGTGCCTCTGTCTGCTCCCTCTGCTTTGCCATTCACAAAGCACATATAGTGCTGCAACTTTGTTTTGTGAATGGTAAGGAGGAACACATCCTCTGCTTTTTGTGGTAACCAAAAAGGAATAAATAACAAGGACTCCTCTTTGGTAAATGTTTGTGGAGAATATCTAAACACATTGAGCCTCAATAATTGTTTAAAGCCCAACTGAATAGAATAGAGTTGGGAAGGATTAGAACCTCAGCCTGGTTTTATTGCTGTCTTCTAGGGATGTCCCGATGCCACTTTTTTAAGTACAAGTACTGGCCCTCATGTACTTGCCGATACCAATTACCGATACTTTTTCTATGGGGCCCTGTGATTTCTAGTTACGCCCCTGATAACATGATTAGGTTAATCATGATCCATAGTACAGTACAGTACAGTACTATCTGATTGGACAACACATTTTATAGGAACTCTCTATAGCATCACACCTCCAAACAGAATCTAGCAGTTCGGTGGCTCAGAAGTATTGCCTTTTAAAGGAGAACTATGGGGTCAGGGCTTTTCCCCATAGTTCTCCTTAGGGTAACGGGAGGACACAAACTAGCGTCCTCCCGTCACCCTAAGCTCAGTATACCGCGAGCTACAGCTCGCGGTATACTGAGATGCCGGAGTGGATCCCGACATCGATGTCGAGATCCGCTCAGCTGCGTGAGTGACAACTGGCTCTGCCTATCTAGAGGCAGAGCCAGCTGTACCCGCCACCTCCCCCGTCCGTTCCGCCAGGCAGAGAGCCGTGACAGGATCGAGAAGTGAGCGAACACTGGCATGTGTTCGCTCACCTCCCGATCTACTGAGCCGACCTGTGGCAGTCTCATTGTCACAGGTCGGCTAGAACTATGAGGTGAGTGAAAAGCACTCACCTCATAGTTCTCCTTTTAAGTGTATTCTATTAACAAGCTTTCCTAGTTCAGACAGTATTTGTAAAAGGTTGACAGAGGTGCTATGGCAGTATAGTAATTCATGATGTGGGTATGAAATGCAATCATAGTATATGGCAATAAAACTTAATTTTTTTTAACTAATACTCTATATGAAGTACACACTATAGTACACACACTATTCGTTTAAATCATGATCTATAGTACAACTACATGTTATGTATGTACTATAGATCATGATTTAAACTAATACAGTAGTGTGTGTACTATAGTGTATACTTCATATAGAGTATTAGTTTTAAATCATGATCCATAGATTGGAATCGGATGGATCATGTTACTAACATGATTTGAACACAGGCCCTTACTTGATGGTGCCTTAGTCAAGTACTTGTCAAAATGCCCTGTATCGGGCCCGAAAACCGATGCTAGCATCGGTATCGGGACATCCCTACTGTCTTCCCCTCAGGATAGGAAAGGAAATCTATCCGACTGAGACACAAAAAAACAAATGTATTTAGTAGAGCACATTGATTCAAAACTAGAGTTTTTCCTATACAGCAGGTATTGGTTTCTGTTTCCTCATTCTTGCATAACTATCTTTGTAAAATCCATAAAGGTTACAAGCGGTTTTCTTAAAAAATGCCTTCTGCGTGTGTGCTATTTGCCTAGGATCATGTTTTTAGTTTTATGCAAACCAGCTGATGATGTGCAAATAGGGAAATGTGGAAGTTCCTTAGTCTTGTATGACTTGGCTTGATGTGAGCAGAGGTAATGAATCTCAAATCAGGCATTAAACTGACAGTTAAAATAGCCATTGTCTTTAACCCTTTCGCTGCCAAGCCCTCCGGAACATTTTTCAAATCAGCTGGCCAAGCCATTTTTGAATTTTCTGCAATTTTTTCCTATTGATTTGATTTTCAACTGCTGCGTTGCTAGCGTTTGTAAAAGACCCCCCAAACCATATATTTTCTGAAAGCGCAGGCCCGGTAGAATAAAAAGATGGTGATACTAAATTTGTAGGCCCTGCGATAATTGCGCAAATGTTTCTCAAATTAATATTAAACCGATAAAAATACACAATTCAATTGTTAAAACACACCAAAATCAGTATCCGTGCACAAAAAAAAATATTTTTTGACTAAATCTAAAAGATAAAACTGTATTGAGTTAATAAATAACAAATATTAGCAAATTTGTAATTGCGCCTTTTTGCGAAAAGGTAAAAAAATGAAGGTATGCAAAACTGTAAATAATCGACTTATGTAAAAAATTGTTTTGGTGTTTGTGTTGTGATAAAATGATACAGGTGTATATTTAATTGCAACACAAGGTATCACAACGCATGGCAATGAGTCACAAAGCTTTGCCATG